CCCTTCTGGAATTCATCCCGTGTCCCCTCGTCTCCCAAACGCTCTACTTTCCACCGGAACACTTTCCTCTGTTTCTTACTCTTCATCTTTCTAGATCGGTCGATGTTTGCCCATATGAGGAAGTGGTCGGTCGAACCTATATCTATCGCACTTACGTGCAGCTCTGGGATCTGCGTGCTCCCCCTATCTACCAGGATGTAGTCGAGGATTGAGTATTCATTGCAAACTGCCCGTTGCCTGGTGAACTCCGGCTTATCGCATTCCCTCCTACCGTTCAACACCATCAGTTCGTTGCTTCCCAAGAATCCAAGCATTCTCACTCCGTTGTCATTCACTTTATCTTCTCCGTGCTGCCCGATCGCCTGTCCTCTACTGGAAGTTTTCCCTACTCTGGAGTTGAAATCGCCCACCATGATAACTTCTCCCTTCCTACTGAACCTCTGCACATCTTCCCCAATTTGTCCAAAGTTCTCCTGCGCCTTGCTTGCGACTTTCTTCGACGACGGTGGGACGTATACGGGGTGGGGCGGCTTGTTTAACAACGTCGTTGCCAAGCGACGAAAACCCAACCCCGATGGCAAACACCGGGGGGGCCGGGTGGGGGGGGACGAACATGGGGGCAGATCTTGTTGTCTTACGTGGGTGTTATTGCGTGTATCGTTAGTTTCTGTAGGGAGGGGGGGTCTTTTCCACGAATGCTTCTATAGGCCACGATCTGGGACCCTGTGACCGAGCGTGTGTGTGTGCCTGTTTTTCTTTCTCGTGTGTTTGTAAAAAGCGTGTTTGCCCGACACGAGATAAGGTGCCCCAAGCCTTATATACTGACATGTGGTGCCCACATACCCCCCCGGATACGACCGAGCGGACCGCGCAGCAACGTAGACAAATTCGCGGGTACCACGACGCACCCCCCGTAGCATGTACGGTAACCGGAACCCGACCGGCTGGCGGCGGACAAAAACCCCATTTTCACCTGCTCGGGTTCGGGGGGTGTTTGCCCGACACAAGATAAGGTGCCCCAAGCCTTATATACTGACATGTGGTGCCCACATGTTGATTCGTTTATTGGTAGTTGTCAAGACTCGTTCTCTGTTTCTGTTTTTGCTTGTTTCTTGGTAGCTGGACCGTCGACACCGTACCCCCCGAGACGATCGTGGACACCGGGCCGAGCCAAGATGGAGAGGCCCCCAGACCCGAAGAGGCAGATCCCTTCCTTTTCTTCACCTTCCACTGCAGGTCGGTCGGTTGATATTCTTTCGCTACGATACCGTCAGATTGATTTGGCAGTCTTATCTGTCGTGTGACTCGAGCCCGCGTTGTTTGTGTAGAGGTAGCTCTTCGATACACGCGACTTGTGTTTTCTGTCGTCCGGTGTCAGTGCACCAGCCAGACCCCCCACACACACACAGAAAACTCATGATGGAGTGGTTTGGTGTTTTATGCGTGCGTCGACGTTTCTTGTTCGAGCGAGCCAGGCGGAGCGTGTGAAAAGAACCCTGCCGAGTTCGAGTATGTCAACAAGGAACAGACCTCTCACATGAGCACCTACCAGTGAAGCCTCGGCCGCTTATTGGACAGAAATTTCGGGAACTGGCCACGCGAGTCCCGTTGTTCCCCCAAAGCGTACCCAAACATGACACCCACACCGTCTTCATCGATCCGTGCCAACACGGCGAGGCTCCGCTAATTTTCCCCGCCTTTCCCCACCCCCGAGTCCTCGCCCATTTTTGTCCCCGATTATTCTTGGGGGTTTCGTCCTCGTTGACGCGTCACAAACGTCGTTGATGCCGCCGGTTTCAGCGAGGACCTGTGCCGCTACCGATACCAGTTCGATAACCGCATCGAGCTGACGGCGACGTGGGACGTGGCGGACGGCATCGGCCTGATGGGACAGGTGTCGGTGACCTCCGTGCAGCAGGCTAGCGGAAGCGGTAGCGGCGGTGGGACCGGCGAGGAGGAAGACGGATCCGGGAAGCTGCAGATCAACGTCTTCCTGACCGCAGCCAGCAGGTAAAACTACTGCATCCGCGCGCTACAACTGCGTTCTTCACCCCCGTGGAGGTGTTTTGTGTGTTCTTTGCTCGACTTTTTTTTGCCGGCTTTTCGTTCATTTAGTGCGGAGATATGCCTCGTGCGAAAGCCGAAGGAGTCCGTTAGCTGTTGGTGCAAAGCACTACTATGCTTGACTGCGCTGCTGCTGCATGAGCATGTCGACGTACTACTTACGACCGTGCATGCATGCTACCGCTGTGCTTACATTCGGCTACAACGACGCTCTTGTGCAACTTGTAGTAAATGTATGCCATTGTGCACCTTGTAGTGTATCGGTGTGGTGTGTTTGTCCTTGCCATTGTCACGTACTCCCGTGGAATGGCCGTGAGCTGCAACGGTACGCGTGTGCAGCTGCTACTATGCCGCACACGATGCGGCACGACGGTGACATGCCGTGGTATGTATCGATCAGCCTCCCTTGTGCCTTGTACGCCATAATTTTTTATGGCGGTATGGCACCATGCCCGCCCGGTTGGATTCAAGCAGCAAAGACGAACCGTGCGAGAACGCGCACACGAAGTGGCCGTTTCGTATTTCAAGCTTAGAATATGAAGCGGGCGATTTTCAGGAGCATAGTTGTGGTTCCTTTGCGTAGAATACTACATGAACCGGGCGATGTTTCAACAGCATCATTATGGTTCGTCTTTCTTTCAAACAAGTGAGTTTTGCACCCTCTCGTCGCCATCTTCTTGTGAACCGGACCGATGTTTTCAAACCATATTTAATTTTCAACATTCACCGGCCTAATCGTCGCTTATGTTTTCGACGCCCGTTGCTCCACGGCAAACGGCGACGGAGCAGCTACAGCGACCCCGACGACCCGCAGCTCATGCCTTCCACGGTGTCCATCTTCAACACCGGAGGCGCGGTTTCTTCTGGAGCGGGAGACACCGACGGGGCTGGCGGCGTTGGCAGCAGCAACAGCGATAGTGATGGGGAAGAAGCTGCTACAGGGGGAGAGCGAGCGGAGGAAGGAGCCCTCGTGGTGTTGGTGCTGGGTTCTCCGGAGGTGGACAGCGGTACGGGTGACACGGTGTTCTCGCTCTCGGCGGAGGTGGAGGTAAGGACCTGTTTTTATTCGCTGGGGTAGGGGGGGGGTAGGCGTTGGGGCGGCAGGGGGGGGGGGGGGGGG